GTCAAAAGCCTCGATATAACATTTCTGCCCCTCAACGTTATGAAAGACTTTCCACTTCCTTTGGTGCACGTGCTGTTAGAGGTGATGATGGTGGGGGTCGTGGCTCTACAAGTTCAACATACAGAACAGGCAGGGGATCGATTCGACGGCCTCCCTTCAGAGCGGGACCAATGCAGAGACCACCACCACCTCGTCGCTGATTATGGCCGTACAGCTCCTTTAATACATCCCCATTTGATTATGAATATGTGGCGGACTGTAATTGGTTGCATTGTGGTTCAGACGAGGCTGCCATTAAAGCTCCTCTGGATAAGGCGTGATGAGAGTTTGCCTTGTTCGTGTGCGGATTAAAGGCATATCGACGGGGAATTTGGTGCATCATTCTCTTAAAATGCTCAATTTGGTCAAGGTTTAAAGTGTATGGTTTTTCATTCCTCTGGCAAAGGCATGATTGAGGGCTCGCCTCAATCGTGTAAGAAACAGAGGTATAGAAAGGCAAGGCGAGGAGACGGCGTTTTTACACTGGCGCTGAGGCTGTTTGTCTCCTACATGAATTCGTGAACTGTTGTCGGCTTGTCAACCTTGCATGAAGAGCGCTTTTGCCTGTATCTCTCGTGTTGGTAGACTTTTCCTGATGAATATGTCTGGATAAACAAGGAGGTTATGAAAGTGCAGAAGATAAGATGACATACGATTTTCACCGTTGCACAGAACCTGACGAGGTCTACTTGGCTGCGTTTCATTTTTTGAGATCATCACACCCTCACGATTTGCCGCATTTTTTAAATGTCATTCGATTTGCCTGGCAGCTGAATGTATGGTGATCGTCGGAGGTTGCTTTTTGCTGTCATTTATGCCAATTTTTCCTCTGGTTGCTGGTATTGCATCTTATTCCATGCAGTTGCATCGGTTGGACAATTCAATTAGCGAAATCAGGAGTTCGGTACGGATTTGATCACTGGAGGTGTTGCCTAGCTTTCGGATGTTGCTTTTGAACTGAAGTGACCATCTTTGATACTGAAAGATTGAACACGTACATTGTTATGAAGGGCGTGGTTCTGCGTGCCAGCTGTGGTCAAGATCAGTGGGGAGATTTCACTTCGACGGGCATAT